CATTCATTCTTGTCCATCTAGCCTTCACTCTCTCCCACACACTTCAGGAACTGTGTTCATTCGCTGTGCTTGTAATGGTAGTGCTTAGATATGCCCAGATAAGAGATTGTTTAATTGCAAAGGGTTATCTCTGTGCATCAGTTACCCTAGTTTGTAAGTTTGCCTTGTGTGTTTGTGTTCCCTTTTTAGTGAGTGTGTGTAGGTGTTTGAGTATATGTACTGGAGGGAGTGTATATCTTTACAGGAAAAGGATGCACATCTGTGAAGAAACATTGCCTCTATTTCAGTGATTCTTAAAATGAACTGTTAAGTGTGTAAGGGTGAAAGGAGACAGTAATAAAAAACTACATACCGTATGACTCCATTTATATAAAGTGTCCAGAGTAGACAAATTAAAACCACAGTGAGCTCTCATTTTACATCTAATGTGGTTAAAATAAAAAAGGCTGACAACACTAAATACTGGTGACATTAAAAATGTGGAGCAACTGGAACTTTAGTAAAACTAAACATACATCTATCTAACCTATGACTCGGTAATTCCACTTCTAGGTATTTATCAAGAGAAAGGAAAACATATATCCAAAGAGAATGGTAAAAGAATGTTCATAACAACCTCATTCATAATTGCCCAACTTGAAAATAAACCAAATATCCATCAAGAGAAAAAGAGATAAACAAATTGGGGTACATTCATACAACAGAGTATTATTCAGCGATGGGAGTGGGGTGGGGAGGGAGGCAGGGGAGAGAGAGAACCAGCCCTGCCTGGTATGGCTCGGCTGTTGCAGTGTTGTCCCTCAAAGCAAAAGGCTGCTGCTTTGATTCCTGGTCAGGGCACATGCACAGGTTGCAGGTTCTGTCCCTGGTTTGGGAGCAGGTGAGAGACAACTGATCAATGTTCCTCTCCCTCTTCCCCCCCAGTAAATAAATAATCTTAAACACACACACACACATAATACACAGATAAATCTCAAAAACATTGTTACGTGAAAGAAACCAGACACAAATAAGCACATACTACTCTATGATTCCATTTATGTGAAGTCCATGACTAGGCAAAACAAATCTATGGTGTCAGAAATATGGAGTCAAAGTGTTTGCCTTTGGAGGAGGGTACGTGAGGAAAATGGCTGGAGAGGGACTTAAGGGAACTTTCTATGGTGATAAAAATGTTTTCTTAAAAAAAAAGTTTTCTAGCTTGCTTTGGCAGAAGTTACATTGTATAAAATTACCAGAATTCCTTGAACTGGACACTTAGGATATGTGCATTATACTGAATGTTAATTATACCTCATAAAAAATACAAAGCAGGACTCTATTTCAAGGCATAGGTTAAAGAAGGTTTCAAATGAAATCTACATTACTACAAATACATTTTCAATTTTTTGCCCTTTGGATTACTCACATCTCTATTCCTTCATTATTATAAATAACCTAATGGATTACAGACACATGTGGGTAGATAGCTATAAGTAAATGTGTTCATGTTTAAATTTTCTTAAATATCCACCAACTGGTGTGGCTCAGCGGATTGAGTGCTGGCCTGCGAATCAAAGGGTCACCGGTTCAAGTCCCAGTGTAGAGCACCTGCCTGGGTTGCAGGTCAGGTCCCCAGCAGGGGGACACACAAGATGCAATCACACACTGATGTTTCTCTCCCTCTCTTCCTCCCTTCCCCTCTATAACAATAAGTAAAATCTTTTTAAAAATTTCATAAATAGAAATTCGAGTTTGAGTCTTCAGGATTTCAATACATGTACCCAATGGACTATTAGAGGTCCAGTAGAATTTTATTTTTATACCATTCCCCTCTCAGTATGAGTTTTAGTTGTGATTTTAAAGGCTTGAGATAAAACTGAAAATAAGGCATGTAAATCAAATGTCAGCAACAAAGATCAATGACAGAAAGACAATAGTGCTTTAGCCACCATAACAGCCTAGAGAATAATTCCCTCCTCAATTATTTTAATTAAGAGCCCATAACATTTAAATTGAAAGGGAATAGAAAGCATGAAAAAAGTCTGTCAGATAATTTGATATTTAAAAGTTGATAACGCAACCTAAATACCAAAAGCAGTGTGTATAGGGCTGACCCCTGAAAACCTACCTGAGCCCTTTCATCCTCCTGTTTTACTGGGTCCTCCTCTTTCTTCCTCTTTCCCCTCCCTCTGCTGGTCTCTGTCCAGGTATATTTTTATCCCCACCACCTCTAACCCTCCCTATAATATTGCTTAGATCTAACTGATTTTCATGTACTCAGCTCCAAATAAATAAATATACAAAATTTTACAGTTTTCTACTATAGATATAACACATACACTCAAACAATATTCAGGGTATAGCCTGGGAAGACAGTCCCACAACTGTAAAAGATCTCCCCCTATGAACTCGTACCACATTTTTACTCCCTACAGATGGCTCTTACAGCACTCTGAACTATAAACAAGTACACATGCCTAATCTCAAAGAAAGTAAGTTCTCAGACAAAAACCGTATCTTAATGTCTGTATTTACCATGAGCCTAAGACAGTGACTTGTACAGGGTGTGGCAAAACACATGCTGAATCAATGAATTATTGAATTAATAAGAATGAAAACAGCTGAGGGTGGAAGAGGACGAGAGAGGAGAAAACACTGACAGGATTCAGCAGAGAAAGAAGAGTGAAGGAGGGAGTAGAAATAACAAAAAACTTGTGAAAGCAATTATTTTTGTTAGAGTGCATACAGAGCGAAAGCAATTATTTTTGTTACAGTAAATATGATTTTTTTTTAAAACTGTTGGAAAGAGTTGGAAAAAGCCATTATTATGCTTGTAATATCAAAGCTATAAGCACCTACCTTTAAACTTTCATTATGAACAGCTAAAGTATCTCCCAACCCTTGATATTCAGTGTGGTCTCTGGCAGTAACTACAGCATTCCCTATCTGACATGCAGGTTCTAGGGCCCTACTTCAAACCTACATGATCCTGGGTGATTTCTGCATGTTACTATTTGAGAAGCACCACCCTACAGCATTCAAGCCTTTTCTGTTGTACAGAACCTGTGTTTTATTTAAATGGGCCAGTAGCTGAGACTTGAAAAATCTGACTAGAGTGAAACCGATCATTGTAATAGGATTTGACCTGCAGGTATTTAACTTTAGGTGAAGTGAATTAGAGGAATTTGTCCTGAAGGGTTTATAACAAAAGTTTGGAATTAGTCATAAAAATATGATTAAAGGAAATTGAGCAGGTCAGTAACATCCCCCAGAACTCATTTTTAATCTTTCATGCCTAGCACAGGGTTTGGAATGACACATGTGGCCACTGTTTCTTGAATGAATAATATAAATGAATTTTTAAAAATCAGAGATGTTTAGGGCCAGAATAATCTTGGGGTCATCTGGTCCAACAACCTCATTTTAAAGATGAGAAAGCTAGATGTCCTGGTAAGCAACCTGAAAAAGTTAGAATACCGTATTTTGCTGCGTATAATGTGCTCAGGTGTATAATGCGCATCCATGTTTTTGGCCCAAAATTTCAGGAAAAAAAAATCTTTCCATTTCTAATTCCATTTTTTATTTATATTTAGAAACAAAACCTATTATCATATTCCAGAGTATTATTTTGCATATGGTTATCATTATTGCTTTCTAGAGTTAAAAGTTACTTTTAATGCATAAGCATAAGTAAAAGAATGAAAAACAATTATAAAGATACAGAATTAGTGCTACCCATATATAATGTACATCCTTATTTTTCCCTCAAAAACCTGCGCAAAAAGTGCACATTATACAGGCCAAAATATGGTATTTTGGATCTGACATTTTAATTCCCTTTCTGTTCCTTTCATAGGAATGTGTTAGAAAGAGGATTCTAAGTATTGTAATAAAATGATTGCGGGTTCTTAAAAAGGTGATAGGGTAAAAAGGTACCTAGGACTAGGAAGAAGAGACTAGCACAATAAGCTGAACAAAACTATTTTTCTAAGCTTATTTTTTTGACAGGCCAATTAATTAATCAATTTAATCTGCCGAAAAAAGATCTAAAGGATTCTCAGAAAAAGAAACATGAGCTACATGAAAATATTACAAACCTCGGGAGACCGCACATAACTAATTTAAATCTCCACAGGCTTATTTCCTGTTCAAGTATGACCTCCTGGGATAAGTTTTACTGCAGTGTTCATTACCAGATAACTTTTGGTTTTAACAGGAGCCAAGGGCAAGTTGGAAACGCAATTCTTAACTAAACATAAAACAAACAAAAAAAAAAAACAACACGAAAATCCTGTGGCTGCTTCTCATTTGTTTATAATCAGAATGCAGGCTTGCAGAGGAAACACACCAACCTCCGGAGGCAAAAATATAACGATCCAGTCACGTCCTCAACAGAAATCAATATACAAACTTCACAGCCGGATCCAGCTGTGCTGCACGGGAGCCAGGAACTTATTCTAAGCCGGAGCAGACAGATCAAAACGGCAAATGCCAAGAAAGCCAGATTTCAATTAAAAAAGGGGAGGGGGGAAGGGTGTGCCCTAAGGTGTTTTGTTTCTTTCTTTCTTTCGAACTTTCAACAAGCAGAAGCCTTTGAAAGAGCACTGGTGAGAAAGCCCTTTTAAGATGATTGTCCGCCGAGCTAAGCTTGGGTGGAGTGGAAGGGACGGATGAGCACCGAGAGCTTGCACACCGCGGGCGGCGCGGGGTGCTGAGCGCGGGAGGAGAAAGAGCCGGTTCCGACCTCCGGGAGGCCGGGCCCCCAACTGATTCATCAACTCAGGGCTGGCGCGCCTCTACCGCAGGCGACGCCCAGCGCGCCCCACGGCCCCCACCCGGGCCCGGTCGCCCCAAAGCAGCTTCCAACGTCCCCGTCTCCCCAAGAGGGATCTGTAGGGAAGGGGACCGAGACCGGTGGCTAAAAGGAAGCAACCTCTCTCTCTAGAGCCACCATGGCCGGTGTGACTCCTGCCCGCGCCCGCAGACGGACTTCCTGGAAAGCACCGGTCTGTACTCACCTGAATGGTGCCCGCTGGGGCCACCGACTTCTTCACAGACCCACGAGAACTGCCTGCAACTCAGTTCCCAGCACCCGCCGGTCTGCCTCCGTCTGCCTCTCCGGGAGTTGCCGGATCCACCCTCCACGAGCACCCCCAACTCGACCGCGCTGTCGGTGCGGCTGGTTCCCCACCTCCGTCACCCACGCGCCTGCGCACTCTCAGGTCGCAGTGCATCCTGGGAGTTGTAGTTCGAGCGAAAGGGTAAAAGCTCAGCGCAGAGCCCCGGTCTTTACAAAAAATCTGCAAGACATTGGAAGCAGCTACGGATACCACGCTTGACTCCAGCCTGGGCAACGCTCTCTACTCGTTGAAATATTTAACCTCGACCTTCTGGAAGCTATGAGCGGCAGCTAGAGGCTCTATGGTACAGATTTCCTCTTTACTTTGAGTTTTACTAAAGAGGCACACACGGCAGGGCTTGTATGTACCCTTGGATTAGCTAATGCGAGGATATAACATCGAGTCCTTTAAACTTGTTATAAAAAAAAATTGGTAAACAAAAGCTAAGGCACAGGAGAGGCATAAATCAGGCGTATGTCATCTCAAGGGCGTAGTGACTGTAGTGATTTCTTTAGACCTGCAACCAGGGATGATGTTGCAGCGCTAGCACCTATAGTCCCCTACAGTTTCGACACATCCCTTCCTTGCATTCCAGCTTCGAGGTGGAATTGGGCTAACGTGGGAGGGCGCTGCTCAAACGAGGAAACTGGGACTGATGGGTAGCCAGGAAGGGAACACAAGGAGAGTGGAAATATTTCAGAGGACAGTGGATGACTGACTACCTTCTGTGCGTGGCTCTGAGGGGAGGGAATAGCAATGGCCAGACATTCATTCATTTACTAACTGGGAATTTTTTGGCCTGCTCTTCAGGAGTAAACCATTCCCAGGAGTAATGCTCACCTTTGATACACCTCTTTCAAAAATGTAGCCAGGAAGAGGACTAAAACGCCTCCTTGAAGTACATTCCAGTTACACCCAAGAGTGGGAGCCGACTAATGGCTAAACCTCTCCTGGCATCTGCTTCTAACTCAGAGCAAGCAGTACTCTAGGTAAACACCCTGGAATTTCGTGCAACTGGTACCCACTAATCCCAGCAATAAAGATAACTAATGATTTGGAGTTTTTAGGAAAAAGAAACCCTCCTAAATTGCAAATAGTATTAGAAGACCATCAACATTAAATCATGTGGCTATTGCATCTTATTTTCTATTGCATCTTATTTTTTTAAAAATTACATTTTGTTGATTATGCTATTACAGTTATCTCAATTTTTACCCCTTTGCCCCCCTCCACCCAGCATGCCCCACTGCCTCAGTCAATTTGCACACCATTGTTCTTGTCCATGAGTCATGCATAGGTTCTTCGGCTACTCCATTTCTTATACTGTATTTTACACCCTCATGGCTATTCTGTAACTGCCTGTTTGTACTTTTTAATCCCCTCACCTCTTCACCCATTCCCCCACTACCCCCTAAACACTCTCCACATCCATGATTCTGTCTCTGTTCATCTTGTTTGCTTAGTTTGATTTTTAGATTCAATTGTTGATAAATTTGTATATTTTGCTGTTCATAGTTTTGATCTTTTTTCTTAAAAAAGTCCCTTTAACATTTCACATAATAATGGTTCGGTGATGATGAACTCCTTTAGTTTTTTCTTGCCTGGGAAGCTCTTTATCCTGCCTTTCAGTTCTAAATGATAGCTTTGCTGGGTAGAACAATCCCACTTTTCATGACTTTGGATATTTCTCACCAATCCTTTTTAGCCTACAAAGTTTCTTTCGAAAAATCAACTGACAGTCTTATGGGAATGCCACTGTAGGTAACTACCTTCTTTTCTCTTGCTGCTTTTTAAGATTCTCTCTTTATCTTTAACCTTTGGCATTTTAATTTTCATGTGCCTTGATGTGGGTGTTTTTGCATACATTTTGTTTGGGACTCTCAATGCTTCCTGGACTTGCATGTCTATTTCCTTCACAAAATTAGGAAAGTTTTCTTTCATTATTTTTTCAAATAGGCTTTTAATTTCTTGCTCTTTCTCTTCTCCTTCGGGCACCCCTATGATGTGAATGTTGGAACACTTGATGTTGTCCCAGACAGTTATACTATCCTCATTTTTTTAAATTCTTTTTTCTTCTTGTTGTTCTAATTGGTTGTTTTTTTGCTTGTTTATGTTCCAAATCATTGATTTGATTCTCAGCTTCACTCTACTGTTGTTTCCCTATAAATCATTCTTTATTTTAATTAGTGAATCTTTTGTTGCTGACTGTGTCATTTTATGCTGCTGAGGTCCTCACTAAGTTCGTTGAGCATCCTTATAACCAGTGTTTTGAACTCTGCATCTGATAGATTGCTTATCTCCCTTTCATCTAGCTCTTTTTCTGTAGTTTTGATCTGTTCTTTTGTTTGGGCCACGTTTCTTTGTCTCTTCCTTTGGGCAGCCTCCCTGTGTTTGTTTCTATGTATTAGGTAGAGCTGCTCCGACTCCGTGTCTTGGTAGAGTGGCCTAATGTAGTAGGTGTCCTGTAGGGTCCAGTGGCACAACCTTCCCTATCACCCAAGCTCAGTGCTTGAGATACACCCTTTGTGTGAGCTGAGTACATCCTCCTGTAGTATTGAGCCTTGATTACTGCTGGCAGGTCAACTGGAGAGATTTACTCAGGCCAGTCAGCTGCAAGGATTGGCTGTGTCCACTCATCACCAACCTCCACCCCCCATGGAGGATCAGCTATGTGGGGGCAGAGTGGTAGTGCTCTGACGTGGCCTGTAGCTGTTCACTGGGTGCACTGGCCCTGGGGTTTCCCAGGTGGTGCAGGCCAAGGTCAGCCCCCACCTGTGTTTTTCCCAGGGTTTCCTGCCTGAGCTATAAAACAATCAAAGCTGGCTGCTGCTAGTGCTGGACCTCGGGCTACTTAGCAATAGGTATGGGGGCTGGGGGCGCACTGAGACTGGCTGTTGCTTGTTTGAGGATTTAGGAAGTTGTGAAGCATGAGCCAAGGTCAGTCATTCTTATGGAAAAGCAGCTTGGGTGGGCTGCTAAATTGGGCGGGACTGAGTCTCAGAGGATCTCCAGGGTGGGGCACACAGGGTTAGCCAGCTGGATGGAGTCTCAGATAGGGCACCAGCCTGCTGGCTCTGTGGCTCTGTTGGGGAAGGTTTCAGAAATGGCACAATGGCCCACCTTTCTGCCTGGGAGAAGGCTGTCCCCCAGCTCTCACCTTGATGCCAGACACTTCACTTTCTCCCTGTATGCTACTGGTGCCTTTTAAGCTGCTACCTCAGTGCTGGAGCTCAGAGAGAGTGAGTCTGAGTAAGTCCATGTATGGGTTCTTTAAAAGGAACTGCTTTGGGCTCCAGAATTTTCTTCCACTGACTCAGTCCCTGCTGTTTTTTGCAGCTAGAAGTTATGGGGACTTATGTTCCTGGCACTGGTATGCTGGGCGCAGGGGCCTGGTGTGGGACTGGGACTCCTCGCTCCCAAGATATCCCTCCCAAATTTTTATCCACCACAGGTGGATGTGGCACCAGCCTGTTTCCTGTCTCCACTAATCTGGATGGATATGGTTTCTTTACGTAGTTGTCAGACTTCCATTCAGCTAGATTTCTGACGTTTCTGAGTGAAGGTTGTTTTATATTTTAGTTGTAATTTTGATGTTTTTGTGCAAGGAGGCAAGCTGTGTTTACCTTTGCTGCCATCTTGACTGGAAGTCCCTCTGCTGAATCTTAGTGTGAATTAGTTTCTCAAATATTCTTGGAGATAACAGCTTTCTGAAAGCAACTTCCTACAGAGTTCAGGTTCAACTAACATTTATTGAGTACTTAATCCATACCAGGCAATGTGCCAACACTGATATCTATCTAATCCTCAAAATAACCCTAAAAAGAATGTATTAGTAGCTTTCATTTCTACAACTGAGAAAAGTAAGAACCAGGTAAGTACAATAATTTTCACAAGATCACACAGCCAGTAACTGGAGATCCAGTAATAAAGCATAGGTATCCTGATTGAAATTCTAGTGTGCTTTCCACTGTTAAATAGATCCGTGTGTCTCCTAAATCCTATCAAATTCTTTAAAGTAAAATAATCTGTGGACATGTCCAAAGTACATGAAAAGATTCTCTAACACAGTAGGAAGATGGTACTCTGACAGACTGGATAAAATTAATATCCAGTCTGGGTATTAATTGGGTTCATTTGCTAGCTCTATTTTTCATTGTAAGTTAATACATAGGTATTCTGGCTTACTAGCAAGTTTCCTGTGGATTCCTGCTACACCTCTGGGCCATTACTCCCGGGGAAACGGACAAAATGGAGTTCCTGAACCACCAAAGCAAAGGACCATGGCCATCCAGGCAGGGTTTAAGGACTTTCCTTTGCAATATGGCCCGTTTTTCTTTCCTTTTTTTTGGCAGAAATGGCTTTCAATGCAGTGTCTGATTGAATTAACCTACAAGTTTCCTTCCTGACCTTCCAATATAGGGTTTAGGCATACATTAAATATACATTCTCCTTTTGTAATTCATACTGAGTTTTTCCTAACAAATGTCTGAATTTTATTTTAGTTTCTTTTTGTAATATGTTATTTGGTGCTTGATTTTTCCCCTTTCTTCAGACAAATGTTATCATGTTGTAATCACAAGGCTTACAAACATTAATCTACAAACATGTACATTCAACACCACATATGGGACAAGTGGTGTTAAGAATAACATCTGATAAAACTGTAAAAAAAAAACCAAAACAGAACAGAACTTTTTTGGGTGCTCTCACTCTTGCTACAATCTATTCCCTATACCAGAAGCCAGAATGATCTTTTTTAAAACAAATCAGATCATGTCATCCCCCTGCTCCAAACCACTCATGGCTTCCCATCACATTTCAAATAAAATCCCCAGTTACCACCCCTGCAAGTCCTTGCATGACTATTTTTTTCCCTCCCCACTGTCTCACTCTGCTCCCGCCACCCAGGCCTCCCCGAGAGGCTTCCCAATCCTGCCAAATGTTTTCTGCCTCAAGGTTTTTGCACGACCCAGGAAAATGCCTTTCCTCCCAAAGTCATGGTTCAGGCCCTCAGAATGAAGATTCGGCTCCTATGTCACTCTCAAAAGGCCTTCTATGATCACTTTACCCAGTGTTTCTCCCCATT